CATCTTTAACATGGCAAGCAGAAGAATTTTAATGACAAGAATCATTTTATTCTCTAACTCCTTGGTGCTCTGAATAGATCCCAAATCCCCAAATGAGAGCATAAAACGTATTCTCAGGGAAAAAAGTCTTTTTAAGATCTAAAAGCAAACTACAGTGTCTTTTTTTGTTGCAATAAGAATCCTTTGATCTATTTTCTTCCTTCTGGTTTCTTCTTTTAAGAAGAAAATAGATTTCAGGGAAAGAAACCTCACCATCAAATGTCAGTATTAAGCCATAAATCTGATCAGGAATCATAGGTGCAAAACACTCGATTGGTATTCTGTGTCTTCCACACAAGCAAAACCATTTATGTTTTGTTAGAAGAAAATACATGACAGCGGAATTTATGCAATGACTGCATAGAAAAAAGCATGCCCAGAAAACAGTTAAATGGGAGAAAAATACCTATATGAAATCTAATGGGCAAATTAGGAAATTGTAGTTACAGGAATTCAGTTGCTACTTAGTGTTTATAGGGAAGCCCAAAGAGAACATCAAAATGCCTGATCACATCCCATCTGTTACTACCTCTTGCTGGATAACATCTTGGCTGCCAAAAAAACTATTTAAATTTACTACATAGCAGCTACTGATAAATATCACTCCTGTGAAGATCTGATACTAAGTAAGGACTAGATCTGAAGATAAAACTTACAAGCAGTTATGTCAAAAAAGATCCAAATTTTGCTGAGGATAACACCTGTACTTGTACAAGCCTGCAGTTTCATACTCCCTGTGCTGTGTTTTTAATAGAGCATACAACTGTACAACAATCCTCAAAAGCTGGATCATGCCAACAATAGAGAGAAATAAAGACAGAATGGAAAGAACAACATAAAAAAAAAGAAAAAAGGTACCAGGAGGAGGTGATGGAGAAGAGGAAGGTTACTATTCAACAATTTTGGAGGTGCTTACTCCGGGCACTTTCCACACAGATCTGACAGGCACAGAATGGTGCCATGAAACTGCCTCCAGCAATGGAATACATTTTCCAGCACATCACAGCAGCTGCAACGGCATCAATTCTGCTTGCAATCCATGTCCAAACAGAAAAGTTCTCAGTGGTCCTATTTCAGCATATCTCAAGGACTAATTAAATCCTCATTACTATCTTCTAATTATTCCAGTGCTCTGGGATTTCACTGAGCAAGTCCCCAGTGGTGCATTAGATGAAAAGGGTTAAATAACCTGTGTTGATTTTGAGACTCCAGATCTATTTCAGACCTTTAGCATATCATCAGCATTATCATGAATATTTAACAACACACCGCTGTGAAAATTATAAGGGGAAAACAATTAAAGATTTTTAAAAAATTAATTCTGACCCATATACATTTGCACTAATAAATAAGGCTTCTTTAAGTATCCCCATTATGAGAGTGCCTGCTAGAGCAATAATGTGAAATCATTAACTGTTTCCATTAAATTCAATGGTTTTTAGGAACTCCCAATTCACTATTTTAATATAAGCCTGAAACCTGACATGTACATATCCAACTGGAGAAGCATGAAAAATATTACTTAAAAGCATGCAAGTTTTCTAAGCTTTTTCAAAAATACGTAAGGCATCATTCATTTCTGCAGGGGTAAAAGAGCCTATTTCAACATTATCGTGACACGTATTCTCCTCCTGGTTTGCCCAGGTGAATATTCATATACACAGACGGACGTCCCCCTTAGGTCACAAAAGTGAGAGTGGGAGCACAAGCCAATGGTGAGGACAGAAGGCTATATTTTCACACTGCAGCTTCAGGAAACTGATTTAGGGGGTCAGTTTGGATATGCTGCATTTCTATTTGATCCACACAAATAACTTGTAACCTACTGAGCAGTTTTGGCTACTAAGCACATCCTCAAAGTGTGGCTTTCAAAACCCAAATGGATGATCTAAGTAGGTATGGCTGAATACAGGGAACTCAAGCAACTGTGTAAATGAATTATTTGCCAAGCTGTTTGTTGTATCACCAGTGCCCTACTTCCAGGGGCTGACATAACTAAAGTTTATGAAAAGCTTTGACTTCAATAAACAAGAAAAAATCAAAACCCTATTTTTGATTTTTGAGACACAGGTTATGCACATAAAAGCACGTGCTATTTCTATTGCCCAGGTAGATGATGTCCGCTGCTAGAACAGGAAGTTTCATTTATTGGGCATCAAACAACAGCAGCCAGTTACTGATCTTGGGATGAGAACAGCAGTGGGCAGTCTAGAATAGCACTCTCCATTTATACTGACTGAGGTCCGTTTGGGTCCTGCAATTTCTACAGCTTAAGCAGGACATGAAATTTTTTCCAATTATTTTTAAAAAGTAAGCATTTTTATGCTTATTACAGAAAGTATGAAATAGGCAATATAAATGGCAAGCTGAAGACCACAAAAAATCCAGTCCCTCAAGAAATTCCTATTACTGTACATACGCACATACATTACCACTCCCCTCCTTCCACACACAGAATGTACATGTAAAAATATGCTCATTGCTTCACGCTGCACTGTATGACAAGGGATGTATAGCCTTAGGCAGGCAAACATAAAAATCCCAGCTGGGTGCTGAGTAACCATGGAAAGTAGGGTAAAATATAATCAAACACTTTCATAATAAAATAAATAAGTGTAAACTTAATAGTTCAAGGTAGTGGTTTAGCATCCAGAAGTGCTACAGCTTACACTCCACCTGTCAATCAAGCTTCGCAGCATCTGGTAAATACAATTTTTTTCAAGTATTGAGAGTAGAGGATTCTGCTTATGAAACTATTAGTTGTCTTTTGTTCATTCTGTCTAACCAAGGAAAGAAATGTCATACAAAGTGCTAAACCAAAAAAACATTACCTTATCCTATGGTGGGTCTCTGGGTTTTTTGTTTTAATTTTCTTTATTTTTCCCTCTTTTTTGGGAGAAAGTGTATCAGTAAGCCAAGAGTTTAAATTACTGTAACAGATGCCTATGGATCAGGTGTCCTTAGCAGCAACGATTTTCTGCTCAGGTTTTTATCAGTAAATGACAAGCACCTTCCCTTTGAGTCCCCATCACCCCCCCCCTTCCTTTCTTCAAGCAAGCAAAGGAATCAACTAATGTAACAGCCTTTTTAAAAGGTGAAGTTTTCCATTTCAAAGGAGCCTCTAATCAATGACAGGGTGCAAAAGGGAATGCATGCATGTTTATGTGCGTACAGCACAGACTTTAGAGAAGCTTTGGGGAACATGTTCTGCAAAATCAATATGACCTAGCTAGTTACAAATTTCATATCTGCTGCATGAAACAAATAGACTTCTTGCACAAGCTGGGTCACAAGGATCACTCATATTCCACCAGATTTTGCATATGGAGAGTGTAAAAGCTGCAACATTCCCAAACACATTTTCTCTAAGAATTCTCACTCCCCACGCAGGGGAAGAACCAGACTAAATCAACCTGTAAATTTTATTTCTCTCACTGTTATTTACTTCTTTGACTTCCCAGTTATGGCAGCTGTCTTCTCTGTTTTAGTTTCGAACACCCCTCTACCTGACAATGACCCCCAAGTTTGTTCTCCAGCAGAAATGGAGAGGTTTGATCCTTCCAGTTCTGTCAGACCTGTCTAACTCATCCCCCAAAGCCAGGTGAGGAACACACACTGCAGAAATAATTAGTACTGGGCAGTGTAATGTTTTGTACCAAGACCCAGTCACGCCAGGAAATGCACACATCTTTCTGAGATGCTTGGGACTTCAAGGCCTCCATCGGCTCCATTCCCGCTGCCTTCTGACGATCTATCCCCCAGAGCATCACACATTTGTATTGGGTACTGAGGCCATTCTTTTTTCACCAAACATAAACATTATTATAAAAAAAATTTAAAGAGAAAATAAGTCCCTGCACTAAAAACTGTGCATAAAGAATGACCTGAAAAGGAAACAAAACACATGGGTTGAGTGTTGAATTCTTCATTTCGTGTTCTTATTAATCAGCATTCCTGGAGGAGGGGACATCCAACACAGCAAAACAGCAAAAATTAAGACTCGCTCCTCTTCCTTCTGAGTCCTCTTAGTTCCTCCTGGATGCTGTCCCAGAAATTTGTCATTCTGTGAGTTCAACTTGTTTCACTGTGAGAAAACTTCTAGTATTTATGGTATCCCCATATGGTGCCACTTGGAATATTTCTGGTAGCAAGACATGTTAGGAGGGGCATTTCATAAATAACTCTGTGTTTATCACAGTTATCATGCGTCTGTTTTGCAAGCTTGTTGCTGGCACATGTTAACCACTGCATGGATGGGATGCCCAGTATACAGCAGTCGATCATATGGCCATGCAAGAAAGCTGTGACAATGATCTGGGGAGGGAGGAAGGAGGCAAAAGTAAATGGGCTTAAAGTTTATACGCGGTAACATTAAGATAAAGAATCCTCTCTCTATATTGGAGTGCACTTGCTAGGAAGCACCTTTTTAGAACAATGCTGTTGCTGCAAGGTTTTCCCCTGGAAGATTTCCAAATCTTTGAACCATTTGACCTAAATAGTTGATTTCCCTTTATATTTAAAAGATATTTTTATTTCTAGAACTGGCTAGGGGACAAGCTATCCTGCTCATGCAAAGACATCATAAATGAGAACTTTAAAAACAGGAGTGAAACTGCAGCACTCGTAGCCAACACTATTTCTATATATCGTAATTCCAAGACAGACAACAAAAAGTTGAATTCTCTAGGCTACGAATCAAGTATTTACAGCAAACTGCCTTTATACTCTGGGCATTCACTGAATTTTGAGAAAGTCTTGTTTCCCATTATATATTGGTAAAACCTGCTACTCAATTGCTCTTTCCCCAGAGAAGGAAAACCCTGAGCCTTTTACAATGAGGACCGCCAGTATTTTCCCTGGGAGAAGAACAGAAATACCAGGAAATCTCACTTTGCTAATGCATGACTTAGAAAGAAGGCTGCATTTGGCACCACCTAAAAAAGCCCTGACACCGAACAAACCTCGGTCCTGCGGCATTGGTGACTGGCTCAAGGCAGGGTGGGAGCTGGATTCTGACTGGCTGCCAGGAGGCTGCGGTGGCATCTGACTGCCTGTAACACACAGAGAAAAGGGAAAAGAGACTTGCTTTTAACATTGCAGTGCACAAAACCAAGCCTTGATGCATTTTTCAACCACTCAACATCAAAGAAAGTACCAGCTGGATAAGGTAAAGACAGAGCTCAACAGGTCTAGCTTTTTTCAGGTTTTTTTCTTTCTCTCTTTTTTTTTTTTTAAACCCACGGAGGACAAATGCATAAACATATTTAGCAACAGGCATGGCAAAATGTTCAATTTTGTATTGAGCAAGTTCCCAACCTCACTGACATGATCCAATTTATAGCTGCAAATCTCCTGACACATATTTCTGTGAGAGAGTTTAACAAAATCCAAGTCTGCTGAACAATAGGGCTCATCCTGCCACGCTTAAACTGGCCTCCAGCCAGGCAGACATGGACTGCTGCCAACAATATTACCAATGAGAAATTCAGTCAATACAAAAGTGACTAACAACAGTTTAAAAAATATTTCAATGAATGAGAGATTTTTATATTAGTTGAATGTCCACGTAGAATATGGGAATAAAGAATAATATGTAGGTGCACATGGCGAAAGCGAACCGTGCTTGAAAGAGAACAGGTAGAAAACAGGTATCTTAATATTCAAATAAAAGCAAAGGAAAGATATTTGCTTATTAAAATACCCATCCAGAACAGACAGGCCCATTTTTATAGCCTCACTCAACAGACATTCACACAGTTCATCCACTGCTGTCTATCCATTCAAAGACAAGCAGTGCTCACAGTGCTGTCTGTGAGGACACAAAACCGACTCTTTGGATATTACTACTAGATAGTAAGGCAGGTGCTTATTGCACTGATGCAGGTCCCTCCTCTGGCTCACCACTCAACACTGTGTAATGCAGGGAGCTCCATGCTACCACCCTCCTACTGCCACAACACCCCAAAGGCCTTATGCCCAAAAGCCAACCTGCCACAGCCTGAGCAGGGTTAAGAATGAGATGTGGATGTCTCCTGGGACTACTCTCTGCCGCTGGCCTGATACACGCCTGCTCCTGACAGCCCAAGCGGCCTGAAGACCACCTCGGGTTAAGCAGTAAATATACACTTTAAGCATTTAGGCGCTGTAGTGACGAGGACGGTATAAATAGCAGCAGACAGATTTATACCCCTCATCCTCAGAAATGGCTCAGATTGTTTTCCATTTGAAAGAAATTGAAAGAATAAAAAGACACGCAGTAGGATTTGCGCCTGCTGAGACTCATTTCCTCCCGCTCAGCAGCCGCCCCTCTGCAATGGAGGAATCCCGCGGCCGGTCCTGGTGCTGGGAGCCCGGCCAAGGGGGGGTCAGGGGCTGCTGAGCAAGGGCTGCTCTTTCTTTAGAGTGATGAAGTTGCACCACAAGTTGGATGCAAACACAGGAAAGTAAAAGTGTCTGCTCTGCCCTGATCATTTCCCGGCCTCAAAGCAACTGGCCCTCAGCACAAACTCTAAAGAAAGGCCAGACTGATGAAGAACAAAAAGCAAATCCACAAAACGTGGATCTGTGTGTTCCTCGCTATTCAGATGAGGTGCATTTGCACTAAAAAACATGACAGTCGACATTACCAGCTGTGACAACTGTCTCAGAGATGCAAATGCTGGACTAGAGGCAGAACCGCTCCTCCAAAAGACCAAACATGCCACTCAGCGCCCGAAGCTCTGGGATCCACGGCCCATTCACAAACTCTGAGGCATATGACAATAATATCCCACGTTGTGTTTTGATGTCGCTGGAGAGCGGGTTGCGGAGATGGTGAGTGCCTGCATGGTAATGAACGCTTTCTGCTTGACAGGAAGGATGCAGTGAGTCAAGACTGTAAACAAACAGCAACTCCATGTTAACACAGGCACTGCTGCTTCCACTCCGTGTGCCTGGGGCACCGCTATCAGACACAATACTTCAAGCAGATCTGAATGATCTACCATTTTTATAAATATTTAAAAAAAATAATAAAGGCAAGGGCAGTCCTGACTGCACCATACAACTCCCAGTGGGATTCTCCTTTAGGTGGAGGCTTGGCAAACTTTGTGACGTTAAAAGTTCATGGAAGATCCATGCTAGGCAACATATTTAGAATACATTTACATAGGGTCTTTAATTTTCTACACTGATAATAACTTCAGTTATCTGGCCTTATCCTGCACATGCAAATGTACAAGCACAGACAGGGAAAGTCAAAGCCTAGAACAGTGTGCGTATGACATGTTACAGTGAAACTGTTTTAATCTGTATTCTTAGGGAATAAAGATTCAGGAGTTTTGCAAGTTCACTGAAATTATTAGGCTTTATATACATTAACACTACTTTATTAGTTCACATTTAAAGTTTACTTCTGATTTTTTCTGTATTAAAAGAACTTTAAATCAAAGTTTTTTGTTTCACAAAGGAAAACAATTTTGCAAACAAGACCAACGCCACACATACTCAAACAAGTAACGAACTTGCAGGAGAGGTGTCAATTACATTAATTATCAGTGGGTGCTACAAATGACCCAGGTGCTGGACACACAGTATCACACCAAAATGTTTCCAGTCAAACTGCTATTTTATCCTTAGAAGTGATCTGAAAGGTAAAAGGAGGTTAAGCACCTAAACACCTTTGAAGATTTGAACTGAACTCTTAATTTGGGTATACAACTCCTATTGATTGGGTGCTGATGACAGGACTTTAAAAACCTTTGAAGATCCTGTCTGCCATGCTTTGTAAGTTCCTTTGTCATGAAAAGAAATGACCTTAAAGATTTTCCATTTCTTTCCTTTAAATGGTATTAATCCTCCTCTCTTTCAACCAGTACTGTAGTTGGGATTCTTGGAAGATGCTTTAAATAATACATGAACAGACTTTTGCATTTTATTAGACATGGAAAACTTCTACAAAAGAAAAACAACCTCTTTTCTTTTGAACATAAATTGTACAGCTATTTAAGAGGTGAAAAAAACCCAGTGATCTTTTTTCACTGACAGACTACTGCCTCCTTTGACCCAATGATACATAAATGGAAGCTGAAACAGGGATGACCTTTTCCCATGTTTTGTATAGTACTGTTTACATGCTGGTGAGATACTCCACCTGCCAAAACTTGTGCAAAGTCAATACTACTGATGTTTCACAATATTTTTATTATGCAAAATCACAGCAGATACAATAAGGCATGTTAAAAGAATAGATGCTGCCACACTAGTTCTTTTAGCCAGATTTAACAAAGGAGCAAAATGGTATTCAAATCTATACAGCTATTTCTAAAAATTAGTTATTAGAACTACCAAAACCAGCAGTCTACTGCTATTTTTTAAAGAAAAGTAAAGAATCTCAGAATGGTTTGGGTTGGAAGAGATCTTCAGAGGTCACCTAGTCCAAACCCCCCTGCAGTGAGCAGGGACATCCTCAACCAGATCAGGTTGCTCAGAGTCCCATCCAACCTGACCTTGAATGTCTCCAGGGTTGGGGCCTCTACCACCTCTCTGGGCAACCTGTTCCAGTGTTTCACCACACTCATTGTAAAACATTTCTTCCTTATATCCAGTCTAAATCTACCCTTCCTTAGCTTAAAACCATTATTCCTTGTCCTGTCACAACAAGCCTTGCTAAAAAGCTTGTCCACATCCTTCTTATAGGCTCCTTTAAGTCAGTTGAAGAGAATTTTAAAATGCTTAATACCACAGTTGTAAGCTGGTTTTCTATTTTCTAAATTATGTTAGAAATGCTTTTAAGCATTTTACATGAGACTTTGAAAAGCTATGCTTGAAATAAGAGTCAGGAGAGACTGCACTGCACTAAATGGCGATGGCATTATGACTACAGCCATGAAATCTGCAGTTAAAGTGGAGAATGTAGATTCCTTAGAGCCAGCATAGCAAGAAAGAGCAGACCTTTGATATCCTGCTGAGGAGGGGTCCTTCCAATGAATTACAGCCTGAATCTGTAATGTTTTGAAACACGCTGAGGGCTCTCTGCTCTCATCACTGTAAAGACACTGGAAGATGCTCAGCAGTGGTACACTGTACTAGCTAGACAATACCTTGCTGAATTGTGCCTGAACAACTGAATGAAGAAAGCACTTCAGTGACAACAGGTTCCTCCTGAGAAATTACTAGTTAAGGAGGAAAGGAGGGATTATCAGCACAGGGATTGTATGATGTGTGAGGAACTGGGAAAGGAAGGGGCTGGGGACTGATCCCAGACTGTACTGAGAGGGGAACATTAGGCTGGAGGAAAGTCAGAAGTTAAAGATCTTGTGGGTTGTCTTTGGGACATTTCTCAATCTAATTTAGGAATTACAAGCTGGGACTGAATTAATGACATTGTCTGACTACAAAGGAAGGAAGCTTAGTCAATATAGAAGATGATCAAAATACTAAGAAGCCGGACCACCTTTTGGGTTGGAGTAGCAGTGATGCAAAAAATTTAAGCTCATAGACCAGAAATGGGCCTTTTATAACTACGGTGCTATAGGGTTATCAGTTAGAAATGGGAGAAGAAAAGAAAATTTGACCATATTTCTTGACTTACAAATTGTTACAACTAACCATTTAATTTCACCCTGAATCAATCATATATTATAGGATGAACTAAAAGAATTGTTTCCAGTACAGGTAAGGAAACATAACAACGCTGCTGATGTGCCACTGGTGAGTCTTCACACAGACAACACTAAAAGCCTAACACTGACTGGAACAGGAACCGAGAACGGCTACCAGCATGATGTGACAGGAGCCTGAAAGAGCCAGTATTATTTAGCGTGGCAAAAACTACAGCTGCAATTTTGTGACTTTTTAAAAAATGTATTTGCTGCTAAATATCAGGGAGGAAAAAAAGCACGCTGTTTAGGATGATAATCAAACCATTACTGGAATTTGAAACAACTTCCTTTTAGGAATAATGAGGTCCAGGAAACCTAGTGATTAAGATGAAATCTGATAAAATAATGGGATTATATCACAGTCGATGTGACAGTAAAGGCTCACAGACCAGAAGGGACATTCTGGGTCT